CACACACACACACACACACACACACACACACACACACACACACACACACACACACACGTTCCCACCCTGTCAGACACTCGCTCTGCTTCAATCCTCCAGCACACTTTGTCTTGTGGGAAAGTGAAGTCCTCTCATTAGTTAATCAGAATCAAAGGGCAGCGGCGGGACTTCAGCAAACACACACACACACACACACAGCCCGCCGACACAGATATCATTAAACTGCAGGATTTTCCTCCAGGATGAATTCTGGGAAACGCCGTCTCCGTGTGACAGCCTCAGTTTTAATGAACGCCGCATCTCTGCTGCTGCTTGATTAGTAATTGTGCTTATACACACACTCTCACACACACACACACACACACACACACACACACACACACGCTGACCGCGGATATAGGATACAGTTTCCAATAAATAAACTAAAAATGATGCAATTTTGGGGGGGATTGTGAAATCAAACTCTAAAAACATGCTGAACTTGACATTCCTGGCCAATTAGAGTGAAAGGCTTGTGACGGACTGATCTGAGGGCTGAATTGTGTTAAAAACAGCAGTGTTTTAGCTCAGTGGTGCTCGACTGCAGGGTCACGGAGCAGGTCTGATGGGTGTGTGTGGTTAGACTACACTGAACACTCAGACATCACTGCACTTCCTTTATTCAATCTGCACCGCTCAAATAAGGGACAAAAAGGTTTCAAATCTACACAAGCAGAAATATGAATTACATTAAAGGCTATTTAAAGGGACAGTTCACCTAAAAGTGAACATATTTTCCCCATTTACTCACACTCCAGCATTGATATTGATACTTTAATGAGAGTTTTTCTTCTGTTGAACACTAAACAAGATATCCCTTAACACTGATGAGAAAAACAAACACTGACATCAGTAGTATTTTCTGTTCCCGTCATGGATGCCAATGGCTGTGATTACTCATGATTACTAATGGTACACTGGTCACTATTTCCTATAAGTTACTAATTAATAATGGTTACTAATAGTACACTGGTAACTAATTACTAATGGCTACTAATTACTAAGGGTTGCTAATGGTACACTGGTTACTAATTACTAATAATTACTAATTACTAAGGCTTACTAATAATACACTGGTCACCAATTACTATTAGTTACTAATAACTCATGATTACTAATGTAACTGGTCACTAATTACTAATGGCTACTAATTACTAAGGGTTACTAATGGTACGTTGGTTACTAATTACTAATAATTACTAATTACTAAGGCTTACTAATGGTACACTGGTCACCAATTACTATTAGTTACTAATAACTCATGATTACTAATGTAACTGGTCACTAATTACTAATGGCTACTTAATACTAAGGGTTACTAATGGTACACTGGTTACTAATTACTAATAATTACTAATTGCTAAGGCTTACTAATGGTACACTGGTCACCAATTACTATTAGTTACTAATAACTCATGATTACTAATGTAACTGGTCACTAATTACTAATGGCTACTAATTACTAAGGGTTACTAATGGTACACTGGTTACTAATTACTAATAATTACTAATTGCTAAGGCTTACTAATGGTACACTGGTCACCAATTACTATTAGTTACTAATAACTCATGATTACTAATGTAACTGGTCACTAATTACTAATGGCTACTAATTACTAAGGGTTACTAATGGTACACTGGTTACTAATTACTAATAATTACTAATTGCTAAGGCTTACTAATGGTACACTGGTCACCAATTACTATTAGTTACTAATAACTCATGATTACTAATGTAACTGGTCACTAATTACTAATGGCTACTTAATACTAAGGGTTACTAATGGTACACTGGTTACTGGTTACTAATTACTAATAATTACTAATTAATAATGGCTACTAATGGTACACTGGTTACTAATTACTAATAATTACTAATTGCTAAGGCTTACTAATGGTACACTGGTCACCAATTACTATTAGTTACTAATAACTCATGATTACTAATGTAACTGGTCACTAATTACTAATGGCTACTAATTACTAAGGGTTACTAATGGTACACTGACTACTTATTACTAATAGTTACTAATTACTCATGATTACTAATGTTACACAGGTCACTAATTACAATTTGTCACCAATTAATAATGGTTACTAATAGTACACTGGCCACTAATTACTAATGGCTACTTATTACTAAGGGTTACTAATGGTACACTGGTTACTAATTACTAATAGTTACTAATTACTAGTGGTTACTAATGGTACACTGGTTACTAATTACTAATGGCTACTTATTACTAAGGGTTACTAATGGTACACTGGTTACTAATTACTAATAGTTACTAATTACTAGTGGTTACTAATGGTACACTGGTTACTAATTACTAATGGCTACTAATTACTAGTGGTTACTAATGGTACACTGGTTACTAATTACTAATGGCTACTAATTACTAAGGCTTACTAATGGTACTCTGGTTACTAATTACTAATAATTACTAATTACTAAGGGTTACTAATGGTACACTGGTTACTAATTACTATTAGTTACTTGGGACACAACTAAGTTCAGAATACACTGAAGCTCAGTCAGCTGGATTTAAAGTGTGGAACATCAAATTGAAATGTGTTTGAGCCGATCTCACCTGCAGCCAGAGTTTGTTGTTGACGGCGTCCCGTACAGTTGCTATGCACTGAAATGTGGCGTTCTGTCCTGCATTTACCTCCACATCACCCAAACGCAGAAAATGAGGAGATTTATCTGCAATCAAAGGAAAATGTATTCATGGAAATTAATATAACTGTGTGTTTTCCAGCCGCAACTGTGTGTTTTTTCAGAAAAAAATTTAAATAAATAAATAAATAAATAAATAAATAAATAAATAAATAAAATAAATAAAATAAATAAAATAAATAAAATAAATTATATATATATATATATATATATATATATATATATATATATATATATATATATATATATATATATAT